TTGTAACCAGTGTTTTAAATACCGTACCGGTGGTCATACCGGTCTAGTCACCGGTACGCGGTATTACCGGTCGGACCGGTAACCGGACTAGCAAATATAATGATATATATATTTATATATAAAAATGTATAATACCACATGCAAAAAAATAAAAAAGTAAATGATCATAATCATTAATTTTAACTTACCAACAAGATCAAAATAAACATTCTAACTACTAATTTAAATTTTATGTTTTTAAATTAATAATTTTATTTTTATTTTTTTTATGACCGGTATTTTGGACCGGTGTTTTTCGGTATTTACGGTATGACCCCGGTACAAACCGGTATAATTGTAAATCCGGTATTTTGTGTGCAATTGTACCGTACCAATGGCCGGTACCCGGTATTACAAGTCGGTACGGTACGGTATTGAAAACAATGGTTGTAAATTTTCATTTGAATGAAATTTACTTGTTTTATTGTGGTGATTATTTATTTATATGGTATTTTTTTAGTATATAATAGTAATTTTATTTATCTTTATTATATAATTAAATAATCTCTTAATACTAGTTAAAAACTAATAAAATTATATATATAAAAAAAACTTNCAAAAACCAAATTTAATGTTTATCAAAAATATAGTGTAACATATTTATAAAAATTGTAAATATATTGCCTTATAATAACATTTTCCCCGGATTTGGGCCCAAATGTTTGTGCCAAGTGGGCTTAATATATATGGGAAATGATATAAAACGACGCTCTCAGCGACAATTGAGGATTTGGAAATTCTGTCTTCCTCTGCACGCAAACATGGCGCTCCGAAAATTGGCCGCCGCCGTCGTTGAATTAAAGCACGATAAAAGCCCATCGCTCATGGCCATAAGCCGGATTTTACATCGCGATCCTTCTGCCGGTGTCCGTCGTTTCGGCACTCCGGCGGCCCTCGGCCTCAATCCGGAGCAGAACAACATCAACGGCAACGCCGCCGCCGACGAGGACAATCTCATGCTTGTAGTGGAGCGGCGTAACAAATACGGACCCCACAACCTATCCGTACTCTCAACTGAAAACAACTCGCTCAAACCCGTTCAACCCAATACTCGACCCAATTTCTCCCAGCTTAATAGCAGCGCCTGCGACAATTGGGTGGTGCTGGGATCCTTGGATAAAGGTATTACAACTCCGGCTGAGGTCCTGTGGAACCCCACGACCGACGAGGTCCGACCCATTCCTCAATTTCCGGTGGAACTGAAACCCCGCTTCTCCATAGATTTACCTTGGTATGATGTTTGGTGCGGGGTTCGACCCTGTCTCAGGGGACTGTAAGCTAATCAGGGGTTCCGATATGTTTTTCCTTGGTTATGGGAGCCGTAGGGATGGGGTCAGTGGGAAGCTTTTGTCCATCGGCACTGGTTCTGGTTCGTGGAGGGAAATCCGGGTCCCCTGCGACCCCCGCTAATTCAATTTCGATAGAAAGTACTCCGTTTACGATATCAAATACTCCATTCACATCAACGGCATTTATTATTGGTCTACGCATTTAGAGTGTGAAGCACGTGAAGTGAAGAGTTTGGGGCTGATCTCATTCCCTTGCCAAAGCTCTGCGGTGGGTATAGGCACCCGAAAATAGTTCTTGCAGAGTATCATGGGTCGCTCGCCGTTATTTCGCATGAAGATGGAGGTGACTCTAATTTTGATGGTTATTTTGCATGAAGATGGAGGTGACTCTAATTTTGATGATGATTATTTGTGGTTCGAGATTTGGGTGTGGAGTGATGGGGACTAGAGTTGGTCTCACTTGTCCACGGTTCATGTCCCTTCGGAAGATCCTTATACCGAGGTTGTGGGCCTCTACAATAATGACAAAGTGATTCTTGTTTATGAGGGTGCGATTAAGCTTTACTATTGTGGGACATCCGAGTTGCAGAGTTTGGGTGTGATAGATGATTATAAGGATGTCGGTTTTGCAGTTTTTCCTTATTATTATTCTAAGATCAAGAGAGATCGGAGCTCATAGGAAGCGGAACCACGATTCTGATTGAACTCATTGAGCCTAGCTATTTTCACTATTTTTTTTTATTTAGACTTATTTGTTTATTTCCTATATGATTTAAGGTTGAAAGCTTTTATATACTCTTAGATATTGTTTTGAAGGTAATCCAAACTTGATCTTCTATTTTACAATATATACTTACTTCCCTAGGTAGAAATACATCTATCTTCTATGCTTTATCATCTCTTATTATAATAATGACATCATGATCAATCAATAATACACACATTGATTGGAGAGAGAGAAAAAAAAAATGATGGACATAAAGTTTTTTTTTCACCTTTTTTTTTCTAAATAATAAAATTTTTACAGAAGAAAAACACATAAATACATCTAGATAAAATTTTTATTCAACCTCTCTCAAACTTTGATAAGAGGAAACTTAGGGCTCATTTGGTATCATGATAGGACATGAATCATGATTGAACTTACTAATCCGCGGGATATTGCTCTTGTCTGCCTTGGCGACGGTGGGTTGTTTCTCTTGGCAAGGGGCGTAGGGCATGCGCGGGCGAGCGCGCGAGGCCTCGGTGACGCCTCCTTGGCAACAACGCGGTCATGTACGAGCGACGTGCTCAGATTCTCGACAATGCTTAATGACGACTTGTTGGGCAAGTGTGAGCGTGCGTTGCCGGCGGTCTCGGCGATGAATTGAATTTTGTTGGGCAACGGCGGAACTTCCTCAGGCTTTTTCATTGTTCTTGAAATGAGACAGGAGACTTTGCTGAAATGCTAAAAAACAGACAGAGATAATAAGTGCTCGACTTCAACTCTTACGCTCGGGACTCAGCTCGATTCTTCCTTTTTCAAATATTCGGATAAATGGACCTATAAAACACCAATGGACACGGGACAGTAAGCAAAAACACAAAAACACAGAACAAAAGAAAAAACACACGAAACAAACTAAATTGGACTGGTTAAACAACAAAACGAACCTAGAAACAACTCAACTAAATACATAAAAATCACCAAAAAAAAACCTACAATACAATATGAAGTTAATATTATGCATGTTTAAATTCTCTTTTTGCATTTTAATTTTACACCTTCTCAAATTTCTATATATAAATCTAAGTAGCTCGTTTAATGTGAAACCTGCTAGGATTTAACATTTCCAAATAGTTATAATTTGTTAAAAAAAATTTTAAACAAGACCAAATTTGATGTCGAGATAGGATTTAACACGTCCAAATGGTTATAACTCGTTATTATCTTTCTAAAAAAAACACCAAATTTTATGTTTATCAAATATAGCGTAATATTATTTAAAAAATTGTAAATATATTGCCTCGATAATAACATTATTCCATGGCTCCATCTCGATCAACTCAGCCATCGTGGGTTATCACGCGATGGTTAGACGAAGCGTATTGTATGAATCGGTTTGTCCTAATGCGACCCTTCTGCATCTTCATGATTGTAGCAATAGAAAAAGAGGTCGGGCTCGAGCTCCCCCAATTGCGATAATGCGAATTTAGAAACTACTCGACTAAACACATAAAATACATAAAAATCACCACAAAAACATACAAAACAATACGAAATAAATATTATGCATGTTTTTTTATATATAGTTGTAAGTAGCTCGTGAATTCTGAAACCCACTAGGAATTTTTATAATTTGTTAGTATTTAAAAAAAAAGTCAAATTTGATGTCTAACTAAGATTTAACACGTTTAAATAGTTATAATTTGTTGGTGTACGTATTTAAATGAAAAATACCAATTTAAATGTTTATCAAATATAGGGCAACATTTTTTGAAAAATTGTAAACATAGTACCTCAATCATAACATTTTACCCTTTACCCTGATTTCGATTTGGCCCAAATGTTTGCGCCAAGTGGACTTAATATATATGGGAAATGATATAAAACGATGCTCTGAGAGACAATTGAGGTTTTGGAAATTCTTTCTTCCTCTACACGCAAACATGGCGCTCCGAAAATTGGCCGCCGCCGCCGTCTTCGTTGAATTAAAGCACCGTACAAGCCCACCGGTCATCGCCATGAGCCGGATTTTGCATCGCGATCCTTCTCCCGGTATCCGTCGTTTCAGCACTCCGGCTCACGGCCCGGCGGTCCTCGGTCGCAATATGGAGCAAAACAACATCAACAGCAACGGCGCCGCTGAAGACAATCTCATATTTGTGGTGGATCGTAAAAACAACAATCTATCCTTACTCTCAATTGAAAACAAGTCGCTCCAACTAGTTCAACCCAATCGCCCCAATTTCTGTCGGCTTAATACAGCGCCTGCTATGAATTTCTCGCCATCTGCGACAAATAGGTGGTGTTGGGCTCCGAGGATGAAGGTATTACAACTCCGTCCAAGCTCCTGTGGGACCCCGCGACCGATGAGGTCCGGCCCATTCCTCAATTTCCGGTGAATCCTCACTTGCCCGTAGAATACTCTTTGGATTTCCTTTGGGGCGTTGGGTTTGACCCTAGCTCAGGGGACTGTAAGGTGGTCAGGGCTTCCCATCTTGATTATGGTGGTCGTGAGCCCCGCGAATTTAGAGGGGAGTTGCTGTCGGTCGGCACCGGTTCGTGGAAGGAAATCGAGTTCCCCTATGATTACGAAGACCTATTTAGTATCTCCAAGTACTGCATTCTCATTAGCGGCTTTTGTTATTGGCACGGTTATTTATTCGATTCTGATTGTCACATTATTATTACATTTGATTTCGGCCGTGGAGAGTTCCCGGCTGATCACATTCCCTTCCCGAACGAGCACACGCACCCGAAGATGGTTCTTGCAGAGTATCACGGGTTGCTTGCTGTTATTTTGCAGGATTATGGGATTTATAAAGATTCTTTGCGGGTCGAGATTTGGGTTTGGAGCAATGGGGACCGCAGCTGGTCTCACTTGTCCACATTCCATGTTCCGGCGGATGTTGATGTTAAAGAGGTTGTGGGTCTCTACAATAATGACAAAGTGATTCTCCTTGACTCTAAAGGTGCCATTCTGCTTTATGATTGTCGGACATCCGAGTTGGAGAGTTTCGGTGTAATCCGTGATTATAAGCATGATTCCAAGTATGACAGTTTTAGGGTTTACCCTTATTATTCTAAGAGCAAGCCAACTTGATGAGCTCATAGACTGATTCTTTGCCCTTTTATTATATTTAGTATTTTTTATTTGACTTATTTATTCGTTTCTTATTTCAACTAGGGTTGGAAGTTTTTACATAAACTCTTAGATATTGTTTTATATTGTTTTCAAGGTAATCCAAATTTGATCTTCTATTTTACAATATATACTTACTTCCCACGTTATAAATAAACTAGTACATAGTACATATCCCGATCAATGCACGGGATGTATTGTTCTTATTTTTTAAATTTCTCTTCTATGCTTTACCGTCTCTTGTTGCAAACTTGCAATAGCGACATCATGATCAACCACAATACACAATGGAGAAAAAAATAATTGATGGATTTCAAGTTGAATTTATTTATTTATGTATTGTCAAAAAGGAAGCGCCTAGCATATACCAAGGGCCCTTCTTGTCAAAGTCGGCTAGCACGTTCGTGTATGATGTACATATAATTCGATAAATGAAGTTATTATTTTGTGTGCATTGTATATGTGGTCCTTTAATAGTTGGACAACCCCTCAACTCTATATGATTGGCACACTCCAATAATTATTGGGTCCTGAGAAATTTTCATATAAATCAGACATAAAATTATATCTTCATCGTGGTTACAAGAAGCTAAATGTTATCTGAGTTTTTTTTGGGATATAGCTACTACCACACAATGTTTTTCTTTTACAGTAAAGATATCACATATCTCAATGACTTAACCCGAAATGAGTCTCGATGACGTAACCCGAAATGAGCTCATAGGGTGGAGGTCAGGCGCAAAAGAAGCGAGTTTTTCAGGCAGAGATGTTAGAAGGGAGATCCTTTACGATAATGCGACCTCTTCTGCATCTTCATGTCGTAGCAATAGAAGAAGAGGTCGGGCTCGAGCTCCCCCAGTCACATGTGATTGAGGATGGTGAAAGCAACCATTAAGTGGATCGCATTGCGGGAAAATGGTATATAGGAAGATGATATGGATCGCTTAGACGGGTGAAGTCGGCTTGAATAGGAAAACGCATGCCACTTATAAAATACAATTCGGAGATTAGACGGGTGCGTTTTCGTATTCAAGCCGACCTCACCCGTCTATCAAACTGGAGTTATTTGGTAGATCCATATCAATCGGGGATGATAAGGATGTCGATTTTACAATTTAACATCTACATGATGTATAGAATTTTCACACATTGAAATGAGCACTGCAAATATGACTCAAACACATCATGTTTATATATACAAGCCCTTGCATTTAACACTAATCCCACCAATAGACATCGGGACATGTTTGAAAAAAGGAAACTCAAGGCCTCGCGATGCAACATCACGCGTCGTGATTTTCCTGCACCATAACGAGGCTTCAAACCGCTACACACAGACAAACGCCGTTGATTACTGAGGAGAGTGAATTTCAAAACCTGAATTTTTGTATTCTATATAATGTGGCTTTTTTTTTTTTTTTTTNATGGGCCCAAGAAGCTACTGCCAAGAAACGCCGGGTGCATTGGGCCTCACTTGGGCCTCAGCCAGCGAGACAGCCATTGCCAGCATCATCTGCTCCTCGAAGCTCTTGGGCCCGGGCCCACACCGGGTCTCATCCTGAGGCCCAAAGCCCGATGAGCTCTCCACATCGTCAAACTCGTCCGAGCCTCCGTAGCTCGTCCCCACCTCCGCCATCTCTGACCGGCTGCGGCCCATCCAGTAGTCCACGTCATCACCTGCAGCCATCGCCAGGTGGCGGCCAGGAGACACCACCACGATGCCGCTCTCTGCAGGGTAGTAATCCTCCGCTTCTCGGTTGGTGGTGTTGTGGTTGTTGGGGGTCTCGATGGTAGCCTGCTGGCGCTCGGCGAGGGCTGCTATTGCGCATGCGAGTCCACCGGAAGGTGATGATGATGATGATGACTGGGTGCGATTACCTGCTATGCATTGTTCGGATTGGATTGAGTCGCGGAAAGGTGGAACCAGCTGGCGCCTCCCGTTTTCCTGTGTAATAAAATGTCGAGGCAAATATGACTGAACAGCTGATTTTATTCAGCATCTTTTACACTACATTGTTAGGTGATCAGATTTACCTGAATAGAGAGCCATATAGCTTCCATAACCATTATATCCTCGAGATCAAGGTCAAAATCGTCCTGTCTGCAACCAGAGAGAGAGATTAAGTCAGACTGAAAGGTCACCGTGCATATGAATGAACAAGAAAGAGGGAACATAGATCAGAACATTCATGATGTGAAGGAAAAAAAGAAGTATTGTATTTGCTCTAATCTAATAACTGCATTTGCTCTCTAATCTTGATTTCTTATGTTGGTTTTGCTATATTATTAATGCACAACTTTTCATTTGCTAGCATACATCCTCGACCAGCTAAGAAACGAGAGTCGAAACCTTTGCTAGATAATTTATCGTTCAAATTATAGAATTATAGTTAATAGCATCTCAGAAGCTCAATTAAACATACTTTAATCCAAATATTTCAACAGCTCATCTTCAAAAAAATAAGTTACACTAAACAGTAAACACATTCTGAGTCCCAAGTCTGCTAAAACGAAGCCTTTCGAATAAAGATAACTGGTTTTAACAGTAAACAAAGCTGAAAATGAAAAAAATATATAAATAAATAAAACAAAAATCGGCTACCTATTCTGCCTTTGGCGTGGAGATGGCCTATTTGCCATGCCTTCATGGGAGGAAACAATATCTTCACTCTCAATGGCAGATGCAAAAGACATTTCTGTGTACAAAAGGGTAGATAAGTAAAATATCACAAGAACAAACTCACATTTATTTTCTGTATACTCTGGACAATTTACCTCGAGTCGAGCAATGGTCTTTTTGTTTCAGCATTCTTTCTTCTTCATCGTGAATTTCTTGCCGTCTAATCCTTATTTTGGCTTCTATAACTCGCTGTTCTTCCTACAAGTATGAGTTTAAGGCATACATATTTTAACAATGAAACTATCATTACATATATCCGAACAAATAAATATTAAATTACATAAATTTACGGTATATTCAATCTCACAAGTTGCTCCATGCCTTTCTCCTCTTTCGTCTTAACACCTCGATACTCCACAGCATAATTTGATGTTTTGCAGAAAGGACATCTTTTCTTAGAGTTAAGATAAGCAGAAGCTGTAAAACTTGACATAATATATAATCCAAACAATCATTTTGGACAACGCATTGTAATAAAAGAAAAAAACATCATAAATAGAAGTTCAAGAAATCGAGGATACTGTGTCGGCCGAGTAGAATTGGGAGTCTTCATCTGCAAAAAACACTCTGAAAAAGGAAATAACTCAATTAAACTTAGAAACATGAGATAAACTAAAATAAGTAATGAGAAAAATAAAGACAGAGAAAAAAGAAACTCTATACCAGTACAAATGCCTTTCAAGCAACATCTTGACCGATTCAGACTTGGATAATACTGAAACCATCAAAAGCAAAGGAAACATCAAATGCAAAGTTTATATAAAAGGGATAATAAAAAATAGTACCCGTTCTATGCTTCAGATTGCCGGTCATCAAAAAATAAACCTGTACTGTTGTTCATTCTATATTTCTATTCCTAGCAGGCAATTTTTCTTGTTCTAGCTCCAAAAAAATGGATGCACAAACTAAGGCATACAATTGATTTTACTCTACAAAGATATACTCTCCAAGTAATCACCAGGTAATAACAAAAATATACGTGAACCAATTTCTAATCGAGCATTACTCCTCAGCCTCAGCCTATACTCTCCAGCAACTTTCCCAACGAAATTTCCATGGCATTACTCCATTTTTTCAGAAATGAAGACAATAACATCGATAAAATATCAACTTGAAACAAAATTTTCATATACGAAACTAGTTCCTTTGAGTTCTACACCTACAAATAACAAATGGGTCCTTCCAATTACAATGAAGCTTTTGTTTACAGAATTAGAACCTGCAAAAACGACTTGAAAACGAAAAAGGCGAATGAAAAACGATAAGATTACAAACCAAGAAGCAAATGGGACACTCCTCGAGTTCAAATCCACACTCATCATCACCAGGGTAACAAGGTGCCAGCTTCGAGTCAAGAATCAACTTTCTGAGCTTTTTGTGATCCACATCCTTGTGATGGTACAACCCCTGAGGCTTAGTGTACTTCTCATCCACCACCTGCCTCCACTTCCCCAATTTATTCCCCATGGCAGACAAAATCAAACACCCTCAAACAGTCAAACTTCTAATTTTTCCCCTTCTTTCCTATCCAAAATATGTTGTAAAATTCCAACTTTTGATTTCACAATTGGAACAAGATTTCACACTGAAACATCCTGCAAAACAAACAAGAAAACCCGAAAAACATCAAAATGAATACGAAAAACATCATTTTTCTGACAAATAACAGACGCCCATTAACTGGGCTCACTGAAAATAAAACCCCCACAAACAAAGAAGCAAAATGGGCATTTGAAAAACCTGGAAAAATGCAATCTTGGAACAAGAAAATGAAGGGTCTGAACATACAGAGCAATTTGCATCTAAAACACAACTGCCTTTGTGCTATTTGTATCTGTATGTGGAGAGAAGATAAGAGGAAAAAGATGAGAGATTGCAACAAGATCAGAAAAGCTCTGCTAGATTTCTGTGTTCTCTTTGTTTTTTGCGTGGTGTGCCAATCGACAGATATATACGTAGCTTGTGTGTGTATTTACAAGATTCGATTTTTATCTCTCTTCTTTTTTTCTCCCAAAAGAAAAAGAAGAAGGAAAGAATGTAACTAGACTAGAAACAGATGATTGATTATTTACATTGTAGCTGGACAATAAACAGATGAACCGAGCTCAATTTTGATTGATTATTTACGTTATCTGATTTTATTGTGTAATATTTTGGATCTTTTCTAGTCTGTTTGTTCATCAGATTTGGACAAACAACGTTGTGTTGAAAGAAAAAAAAAATAATTTTTGTTTTTTTTTCCCTTTTTTATGCCCACAAAAGAAGCAAAGTTTCAATTTTTATGTACTTTTATTTCACAATTTCCTATGTAAATCGATCTTACGGTTAGAAGAGTCGAAATATCGAATCATTAACAAAAATATAATTATATTATAAAATATGAGACCTTCTAATTTTAGATTTTTTTTTTCTCAGTTTAAAATTATATTTTTTCGAAGGGAACGTATAGTTGACTTAATGATATTCTTCTACATACAAAAAAAAAACTAATATTCAATTGCTATTCACCGCCTCCCTTATTACTACATACTGCTNGCTACTTGTTTGTACGTCATTTTACTTTTTCTCATTCTTTCATATTTTTTAAAAAATATTTTTAACCTCAATTTTTAACTCATGATTATTGGAATAATTTTAGCAAGCTACAAAAATCAAATAGTATGTGTGAAAACAGTGCGTAATCATAAATCATTCTTTTTTTGTCTTCAATCATTGCTTGAAGATAGATGTCTACGAGTTAGCGTGAGTGAGCTTCACAACAGGTAATTAATTAATAAAAATGAGTTTTAAGTTTTTTTACTTTTATTAGTGTACAAATGAATGTACCGTACATGTACTTTTAACTGTGATTTATCATTGTCTTATCAATGTCATACAAATACGATTTACTATATGTTGCTTCAAAAAACATTTCACTCCCAACAAAAAAACATTTCACTCCTAAGTGTAACCAATTCAAATTCGACTTTTGATATTTGAGAGCTTTTATATTTAAGTTTAATCTTGAGTATTTAATGAGTCGAGCTTAGAGCTTGAACTTGAATTATTTAATAAGTTCGAGCTCAGCTCTTCTCGTTTGAGTCGAAAATGAATCGAGATCAAGCCTCGAACCAAGCTAAATTTACGAATAACTGATTTCATTTAAGAGATATATTCCCAAATGACAAATTTGATCCTACTAATAGGGGCACGACCTCCATAGGCTTTTTTACCATTGAAATCAATGGTGAAAATCATCCTATCACTAGAAGTTTTTATAAAAATATATCTTCTTATAATATGAAATGAGCGACTAACAGGGTGATTGTTTATGGATTGAACTAATTTTTATTTAGTTTATTTTTTAATTATAGTTAATTTTGAAGAAAGTGGTATGGTTAGTTGTTAGTGGATATATTAAAATAATATTTAAATAAAAGAATTAAAGTTGATTTGATGGAAAGTAGGAGAAAAATGATTGGAAGTGGTAGTTAGTTAGAGTTATGTGAGTGGATGAATAGTGAATAAAAGTTGATGTGATGTGTAAAAATGATTTGTTGATATTATTTGATTATATTGATGATAGTGGAGTTGAGTTAAATTTGAGTTTTGATTGATTTTTTTACTATTCAGTTCATATACAATCACCCCTAAGGTTGCATAAAAATTCAGTTTAAGACAACTTGTCCCCATATAAACTTTTTAATATTTTATGTGAAGCATAACTTGAACGGCAATGTACGTAATAATTAATTTTACGTTAGAATTGATAACTAAATAATTCAGTTAATCACGGATTCTGCTCTCTTGCCTCTCCCAGGGAAACAAGAATATTCTATAAAAATTATTATCATGTGCATGTGATCAAATTTTGGAAAAATAATATGTAGTTTCAATGATTAAAAACAGTTAATTTTGAAATTATAAACAACGATAATACTATCGATCTAGTGTTTTTTTCCCCCTTTTTAACAGATAAAAATAACTCCAGGAAATTTTCAACTTTATTAACTAATAAAATTCAAGATAAAAAGACTTCTAATATTTCATCTCTAAAGAATATATTTTTTTTTTCTGTTCCATCCATTATAGATTCATAAGCATAAAAAATTCGAGCTCTATTCAGCTTGTTTTCATACATAATTAAGATCTGTACATAATTGCATAATTAAGTTGGATTATATTATTCTAAGGTATAGAGAAATATATGATTACCTAACTATATAGCCTTTCCCATATTTCATGAAAAGTACAGTGCAATATAAAGGGAAATGTAGAAAATGTAAAGCTACAACTTTATGTGAAACCTTTTTTTTTTTCCTCCCTTTTTGTG